GCCACAACGCCCGGCCATTTTTTAGTTGTAGCCATCATTGTTGTTTGGCGGGCCCGGGATGGGGATTCGAACCTGACACCTTAGGTGTATGTGGCTGGCGCCTTAGCCGCTTGAGCCACAGGCGCCAAGCCCATGTCTGAGGGTTTAGGAACTGTTCTGAGCTTTAGGGTTTTGAGAAACCCCCATATTACTTTCATGCTGCTGGCTTTTTTGTGATGGGGAATAATAGCATTTGCCCAAGTGCTTGTGAAGATTAAATCAGAGGATGGACGATCTTAACACAACATCTAGGAGAGAGGAAGCACCCAATAAACGGCAGTGCCCATCATTAGGACCACATTACATGTGTTATTGTTCATACTCGCTTAGAATAAAATTATAGTTTGGGGGTTGTTATTTTTATTTATTTATTTATTTATTTATTTTTGAGACAGTGTCTCACTCTGTTGCCCCAGGCCAGAGTGCAGCGGCGTCATCATAGCTCATCAGAGCTCACTGTAACCTCAACATCCTGGACTCAAGCCACCCTCCTACCTCAGCTTCCTTAGTGGCTGAGACTGTAAGTGCATGCCACCATGCCTGGGTAATTTTTCTCGCTCACTCCTGACTGGAAGCGATCCTCCTGCCTTGGCCTCCCAAAGTGTTAGGATTATAGGCATGAGCCACCATGCCCCACCAAAGACAGTATTCTTAATGTTTAATTATAACTTGAGCACCACAGAGCTGGCACGACTTTAGAGGTCATCGTTGGTGTCTGTTGCTCTGTGTACAGGGAAGCCTGCAGACCAAGGAGGGATAGTGACTTGGTCCAGGTCAAGGCAGAGTTTGAGCTGGGATTGGAATCCAGGGGCCCAAGCCCCTGATCTGGCCTCTGCATCTGGACTAGGCTGACTGCCCCCAAGTCCTGCCTGGCCTGGGGGGTGGATGAAATGAGCAAGCAAGATACGTCCTCCACCTCCTGGGCACATGACAGAGGCACCCCAGGGCCCTGCACACCCAGCACCTTGGGGGGAGGCAAGAGTTGACTCACATTGCAGCCGGAGCGGGTGTCCCCACCAGCACACACCATGGTCTTCTTCACGGTGAAGCCCCACCAGGTCAACCTGGAGCAGTGCTCATAGTCCACCACGGGCAGCAAGGCCTGCTGCAGCTTGTCTGGGAGTGGCCCATTGGCTGCAGGGGTAGAGAGCTTTGAGTGGGGGGATCTGGGGATGCAGGGCTAGGAGCTCCAGAGAAAGGGGACAATCAAGGCACACAGCTCTTCTCTCTTTCCCCCAGCTGTGCGATCCTGTCTGTTTTGTGCACCATTACATCCCAGCCCTTGGCACACAGGAGGCAACTGTGTAATGGGACACATTCCTGTTTAAGAGGATGGTGGAGGAGAATGCAGCTAGAGAGACATGGAGAAAAGTTATAAGTGTCCCGGTGTTACCTTCAACCCCAGCCCCCAACCCCTATCTTTCTGCCTCGGTCCTTGTGGCCAGCTAGAGGGATCAGTACATACTATACAGACGGCCCCAGCCACTGATGTAGCAGGGCTCATTGTTGCGTAGGATGTCACCAGCAGCGGGCAGGCAGGCAAGCTGGACATTGTCTCCCAGCTGAGCGCTGCGCGAGAGCTTGATGAGGGCGATGTCATTGCTGGGGAGGAGAGAAAGAGTTCGCTAACTGGCCCAAGTCCAAGTCCCCTTTCCAGCCTTTATTCCAGGCTGCTCCATCTGTGAGGTGCCCCCAGGGTTCCTTTGCTTTCCCAATCCATTTTTTTTTTAAGAGAGGGGTCTCACTGTGTTGCCCAGGCTGATCTCAAACTCCTAGTCTTCAGCAATGCTTTCACCTTGGCTTCTCAAAGTGCTGGGATTGCAGGCATGAGCCACCACACCTAGCCAAAGCCTACAATGCTACAGCACCTGGTAGTCCCAAGCAGTCACCTTAGATGCCCCTAGGTACTAATCAGGCCCAATACTGCTTATCTTCCGAGATCAGATGAGATAGGGCATATTCGGAGTGGTATGGCTTGTAGATCAAGTCCATTCTAAAGGCTGAGTAACGTTAAGAAGCCCTTCCCTTGCTTTGCTCATGCTGACCCTTAACCTTCAGGATTGTCCTCTGCTTACACTTCAGTGGGTTGCACAGTATCAGGATCACCCGGAGGGATTGCTAAACACAGATTTCTGGACACCACCCCAAAGCTTCTGATGCAGAGAGTGTGGGCTAAGGCCCAAGAATTCACATTTCAATCAGGTTCTCTTGCTGTGGGCCCCAGGACCACACTTTGAGAATCACTGCTATCTGTCATCTGCCAGCCTACCACTCAAGCCATCTCACCCAAGTCTGACTTTTCTCTCTCTTACCCCAGGAGCTCTGTGAAGGTCAGGGTCTCGGTCATTCACTCCTACAGTGCATTTTCACAGGTTTTGGACCCTTCCTTCTTTGACTCACTCACCCAAAAAGATGAGTTTCTCAGGCTTACAGTTTTGCATACAATGGTTTTAAGATTATCTCTGTGACCTTCACAACCACCCAGGAAGCCCTGGTTCGTGGTTAACTTTTGACCAGTGGCAAAACAGAGGCCCAGAGAAAGCTAGTGACGTGCCCAGGCCAGTAGAGAGTTAGTGCTGGAGCCTAACTCTTGGGCCAGTGCACCTCCTTCTGCCCAGAGAACCCAGGATGCGCTGTACAAACTGGCTGTCAAATGTAGGAGCCCTTGGATTCAGGGGAAGGGAGCCAGAGGAGTCCTGGGCTCTGAAGCCAACTAGCCAAGTGGCCTTGGGAGAGTTATTGCCCCACCCTGGGCTCTGCTGTCCCCTCTGGAGGGAGACAGATTTGGTGTCACTAGTGCTTAAAGGCTCTTCTGGCTCCAACCCTTGACATGTGGGACCAGGACATAGGCTGCTATGCTGCTATGCACTCAGCCCCAATGTCCCTGGGAGATTCAGGAAGAATAGTAGAGAAGCCCTGGATTCAGGCCTGAGAATTCACTCACCCACAGCTCACGCAGTTGGAGTTCCAAAGGGGGTGCACATAGATGTCCTCAGCATTGACGGGGATCACCTGCTCGACACCTTCCTCCTGAGCCCGGTCATATTCGCCCAACACCACCTGATAGGTCCGGGAGCTCCTGCAATGGAAGGGAAGTCAGTCTGGGCTAGCTTCTGTCCCCTCTTGAAATCACTCACTGTCCCCTTCCAGCCTTTGATCCAGGCCGTTCCACCTCTGAGATACCCCTGAGGCTCCCTTGCCCTCCCAATTCATTTGTTTTTTTAATACCCTAGTTGCCTGGATCTCATGCAGGGATGAGGCAAGTGGGAGAACTCACGAGATGCAGTGACCTGCAGTCATAACCCAGTCTGGGTGGATGAGGCTGCCGCCACAGGTGTGGTAGAAGGCTCCATCTTTCTCATACTGCAAGGAGACCTGGAGGCCGAGCAGGAAAGAGCCTGAGTGGCCTGGGCCCCAAGGTGAGAGTTGCCAGCAATGGCAGTACAGAGGGTCCCATCCACACAGAAAATGGTAGCCCCTTCTGAAATGTGCAGTGCACAGCCTACACAACTGCCTGGGGTGGCCCTATTATTAATATTTTCCCACTGGAATCACATTCTGATTCTCTAAAGCTTCCCCATCCTGGGCCTATGACCTCCTAGGGGATCCCAACATCCCAACATTCTTTGCCCCCTAGGTCACCCCCAAACTTCTGTCTCTTGAGAGCTCCCCCCCACCTCCTAGGCTCTCTGTGCTTTCAGGGCTGCATTTTTCTTTATTTTTATTTTATTCTCTTAAATTTTTTTTTTTTTTTTTTGAGACGGAGCCTCAAGCTATCCCCCTGGGTAGAGTGCCATGGCATCTCGCTCACAGCAACCTCCAACTCCTGGGCTCAAGCGAGTCTCCTGCCTCAGCCTCCCAAGTAGCTGGGACCACAGGCGCCCGCCACAATGCCTGGCCATTTTTTGGTTGCAGCCATCATTGTTGCTTGGCGGGCCGGGGCTGGGGATTCGAACCCGCCACCTTAGGTGTATGTGGCTGGCGCCTTAGCTGCTTGAGCCACAGGCACCGAGCCAATTCTTTTAAATTTTTATTATTTATTTTGAGACAGAGTTTTACTTTGTTGTCCTCAGTAGAGTGCTGTGGCATCACAGCTCACAGCAACCTCAAACTCCTGGGCTCAAGCGATTCTCAGCCTCCTGAGTAGCTGGGAATACAGGTGCCCATCACAACACCCAGCTAATTTTAGAGACGGGGGTCTCCCTTTTGCTCAGGCTGGTCTCAAACCTGTGAGCTCAGGCAGTCCACCCACCTCAGCTTTCCAAAGTGCTAGGATTATAGCTGGGAGCCACCACGCCTGGCCAGAGCCACATTCTTCTGAACCTCAGATCTTTCAAGGTCCCTTGGGTTTCCTGAAGCAGCACAACTCACCAGAGTCCTTTTTTTTTTTTTAAATGGAGACAGAGTCTTGCTCTGTTGCCTGGGCTAGAGTGCCATGATGTCAGCCTAGCTCACAGCAGCCTCAAACTCCTGGATGATCCTCCTGCCTCAGCCTCTTGAGTAGCTAAGACTATAGGTGCCTGTAACTCCTAGGCACAAGGTATCCTCCCGCCTTGGCCTCCCAGAGTGCAGCATTACAGGCATGAGCTACCGTGCCCAGCCCACTCGGAGTCCTTAGCCTCTTTTCTCATTTGCTACTCATTCTGATTTTCAAAAGCTCCCTTTATACCTGGTTTGGCAAACCATGGCCATGGGCTAAATCTGGCTTGTGTTCTGTGTTAGTTTATAAAGATTTACTGGAACATCACCACATTCGTCCATTATTTACACTCTATGGCTACCCCCATGCCACTATGGCAGAGCAAAGTCACTGCTACAGAAACCTTACGGCTGGTAAAACCTGAAGTAGTTACTCTCCGGTCCTTTACAGATGGAGCTTGCTGACCCTATCCAACAGTACTTTCTGTGATTATGGAAATGTTCTATTATCTTCGCTGTCCAATACGGTAGCCACTACCCACCCATAGCTACTGAGCCTTTGAAATATGGCTAGCACTGGGGAATTGAATTTTTAACATTCTTTTATATAAATTCATTTAAATTTGGTTAGCTGATGTGGATAGTGGCTACTGTGAGACAGCATAGCAAGGCTATTCCTCTGTGCTTGCCTTTACCAGCCTCTGCAAAGCTCTCCCCTTATTGTTCTCAGACCTGATAGCTCTGTTATTTAATTCAAGGAATCGAAAAAGGAGTCCCACAGAATCTCTCCCTTAAGCACAGTGCCTGAAATTCCACTGTTAATGTGCCAACCCCTTGAATTAAGCATTCCCCTCACCCTATATTCCATTATTATTTTTATTTTTTTAGTGGCAGGGTCTCGCTCTGTTACCCAGACTAGAGTTCCTGTTGTGATCATAGCTCACTGCAACCTCAAATTCCCAGGCTCAAGTGACCCTCCTGTCTCAGCCTCCCAAGTAGCTGGGACTACAGGCAGGCACTACAATGTCCAGCTAATTTTTAAATTATTTTAGAGACTGGATCTCAATATGTTGTCCAGCCTGGTCTTGAACTCCTGGCATCAAGCAGTCCTCTTGTCTCAGCCTTCCAAAGTGCTGGGTTTACAGGCATGAGCCACCACACTCAGACTCAGGTTCCACTTTTTTTTTTTTGAGACAGAGTCTCACTATGTCGCTCTGAGTATAGTGCAGTGGCATCACAGCTCACAGCAACCTCAAACTGTTGGGCTCAAGCAATTCTCTTGCCTCAGCCTCCCAAATGGCTGGTGCTACAGGCACCCACCACAACACCAGGCTATTTTTTGTTGCAGTTGTCAATGTTATTTAGCTGGCCCAGGCTGGGTTTGAACCCATCAGCCTCGGTATATGTGGCTGGCACTGTAACCACTGTGTTATGGGCACCGAGCCTTTTTTTTTGTTTTTTGAGACAGGGTTTCACTTTGTCACCCTGAGTAGAGTGCCGTGGCATCATAGCTCATAGCAACCTCAAACTCCTGGGCTCAAGCGATTCACTTGCCTCAGCCTCCCAAATAGCTGGGAGTTACAGGCGCCCACCACAATGCCGGCTATTTTTAGAGATAGGGTCTCACTCTTGCTCAGGCTGGTCTTGAACTCATAAGCTCAAGCAATCCACCTGCCTCAGCCTTCCAGAGTACTAGGATAATAGATGTGAGCCACCACACCAGGCCCTTTACAGGTTCCACTTTTAAATTGCAACAGCCAAGTGAGGACTACAAATGGAGTAGGTTATCCAAGGGGTTTCCTGGCTTTTAAACCCGAAGCAGATATTAAAGGGAAACAATGGCATCGTGACCAGATGCCTTGCCACCCGAGCTTGGGGTCCAGAGCCCATGGTTAGAATTAGTGCAGCTGGTATCACTCTTACCTGCCAGGACCAGCTATAGGGGACTGCGTCCTCACCATTGACAACTCGGCTGGCAGGATTGTAGCCAGGTCGGCCACAGCCTGAGACTACAAGGGAGAGTAGAGGTGTTAATTAGCCAGAAGGTCCCCAAAAGGAAAGAGGAGGCCAAGGTCCCAGTCCTAGCTATGCCACAATCTGGCTGTGTGACTTCATGCAAACCCCTTTCCCTCTCTGGGCCTCAGGAGCCATACCTGAACGGTGAGCATTTGGACTAGAGAGGGGGTTTTCAGAGTCTCAGGAGTCCAGGGATAGAGCTTAAAATGTGGTCTCCTTCCATGGATGGTTGAAAAGGTCGATACACTTAGAACAGTGCCTGAGCCCTCAAAAAGTGATCGCTATTGTCATAAAGTGTGGAGGCTTTGAAGTAAGACTGCCTGGGTTCAAGGTGTAGCTCTGCCCTTTGTTCTAGGATTAGCTACTTATCTGGAGGGTTAATGTTTCCATTTCAAAAATGGTGATAATAATACTACTGACCTCGTGGAGATGTTATGCGAATTCTTTTTTTTTTTTCCTCCTTTATTTTTTAAGACAAGGTCTTGCTCTGTCACTCAAGATAAACTGCAGGGGTGTCATCATAGTTCACTGCAACCTCAAACTCCTGGTCAAGCAATTATTGTGCCTCAGCCTCCCGAGTAACTGGGGCTACAGGCATGTGCCATGACATGGCTAATTTTTTATTTTCTATTTTTGGTAGAGACTCTTGCTTGAGCTAGTCTTAAACTCCTGGCCTCAAGCAATCCTCCCACCTTGGCCTCCCAAAGTGCAAAGACTGCAGGCATGAGCCCAACATGAGATAATATAGATAACATTTTTTTTAAAAAAAGAACAACTAAAATTCTTAGCATTCAGGTTATATATAGTAAAAGATAAATGGTATCTGTTACCATTATTGTCAGTCAAAGGAGGTTCTTAGGACGAGGTGGCCCTGAGCTGACAGAAAGACCAGGAATAGGCTCCATCATAAGATATAGAGCCAGGTGGGGAGAGTAGGTGTAAGAGGAGAGTTGGAGAGTTAAGCAAAAGAGTGGAAATTTCAACCTAAGGAGTCTAACTACAGAGCCCAATCATGGGCTTTGTTTACTGCTCCCATCAAGGCCTCCCACTATAGCCCTGCGGGTACTCCCAATCTTTCTCCTGAGCTGGTCCATCCACAGTTTCCTCCCTGTTCTCCTGCTCTAGCACCAAGCCAGAAGCCCCTACAATCCCACCACAGGTACAAGCTGAGACCCCTTTCCAAGGAAACCAGGTGTTGGGTGCCATGGACCCCTTGGGTGGATGGTAGATTCAAGGACTCCTAGCCCCATGCAGTACAGAGAGCACAGACACAGGCTGGGGGCTTACCAAGAGCCACAAATAAGAGGAAACTCAGCTGCCGGAGCATTGTGACTTTTGAGATGATAAGAAACTGACGCAGAGCCTGGGGCTCTAATATAGCTTAGAAGGCAGGCAGGTGGGGGGATGGGGGGGACTGGGCCCCATTCCCAGAACAGGTGGTGGAACACCAGGTCTCCCATAGTCCAAGGCCACATCTCCCACCCACTGTAGGTGGAGGAGTGTCAGCCAAGGAAAGGACCCAGAGTTTCCTCCAACACGTGGCTGCAACAGGTGGCACTGAATGGGCAACTGATAATGGAGCGTGAAGGTAAGTCCACATCAGAGCAAAAAGGTCTCTTTCAGGAAAGAACACCGGGTCCTGTACTTGATTAGACCTGGGTTCAAATCCTGGGTCTGCCACTTCCAAGCTCAGTGACCTTGGGCACCTGGCCTATCCTCTCTGAGTTTCAGGTTGTTCATCTCTATCATGGGATCAATGTTAGTACTCACCTCCAAAAACAAATCCCATCGAGAATTTTCTCTCTGCTCATCAGGCTCTGCTGCAGGGAGCACAGCCATGAAATGGACTTGGTCTTGGTGTTCCTAGAGCTTGAGTCTAGTTGGGGAGACGATGACAAAACAAAAAAAATAAATAAAGGCTATTTCTGGTTGTGGTGTCAGGTGCTAGGAAGAGGACAGAACATGGGTGATTGGGGTGGGAACAGAAGTAACTCATTTAGGTGAAGGGCCAGGGAAAGTGACATTTGGGGTGAGAGGTTCATATCTGGTTGAGTCCTAAAGATAAGTAAAAGGGGCTCGGCGCCTGTGGCTCAAGTGGCTAAGGCGCCAGCCACATACACCTAAGGTGGTGGGTTCTAAACCCCAGCCCGTGCCCGCCAAACAACAATGATGGCTGCAACCAAAAAATGGCCGGGCGTTGTGGTGGGCGCCTGTAGTCCCAGCTACTTGGGAGGCTGAGGCAGGAGACTGGCTTGAGTCCGGGAGTTGGAGGTTGCTGTGAGCTGTGATGCCCAGCCAGTGCCCCGTGGGCCCAGCCAGTGCCCCGTGGGCACTCTACCCACGGGGATAGCTTGAGGCTCCGTCTAAAAAAAAAGATAAGTAAAAGGCAGCCATGAGAAGCCCAGAAGGAAAGGGGAGGAGACAGCAAGTGCAGAGGTCGGGAGGCTGGAATGGGCTTGGCTTGTTCAAGAAAAGGGAGGCCGGCTCGGCGCCTATAGCTCAACCGGCTAAGGCGCCAGCCACGTACACCTAAGGTGGCGGGTTCGAATCCCCAGCCCAGACCCGCCAAACAACAATGACGGCTGCAACCAAAAAATAGCCGGGCGTTGTGGCGGGCGCCTGTGGTCCCAGCTACTTGGGAGGCGGAGGCAGGAGACTCGCTTGAGCCCAGGAGTTGGAGGTTGCTGTGAGCTGTAATGCTACAGCACTCTATTCAGTGCGACAACTTGAGGCTCTGTCTCAAAAAAAAAAAAAAGAAAAAAGAAAAGGGAGGCCAGTGTGGCTGGATCTTAGTTGTCAAACTGAAGAGTAGTGGGAGATGAGGTCAAAGTGCAGGTGACAAGTTAAGCTGAATTCGCACATGATCCAGGCAGTCCCACTGCTAGGTACCCAGCCGTGAGAAAATCTTGCATATGTGCCCCGGTGACATGCACAAGAATGTTTGAGCAGCCCTGTCCTCAAACTTCAATAAGAAAGGCCTAGAAACAACTCAAACATTCATGAAGGTAAATGAATGAATATGTGTAGAATATTAACCCAATAGAATTTTTTTTTTTTTTTAGACAGAGTCTCAGTCTGTCACCCTGGGTAGAGTGCCCTGGTGTCATAGGTCAACTCTTGGGCTCAGATGATCCCCTGCCTCAACCTTTCCCAAGTACCTGGGACTACAGGTGCCTTATGTCACATTGGCTAATTTTTCTATTTTCAGTAGAAACAGTGTCTCACTCTTGCTCAGACTGTTCTTGAGTTTTGACCTGCTGCCCTCAGCCTCCCAGACTGCTAGAATTATAGGTGTGAACCACTGCACCCAGCCACCCAGTAGAATTTTTTTTTTTTTTGAGATGGAGTCTCATTTTGTCACTCTTGATTGAGTCCCATGGCATAATAGCTCCCAATAACCTTAAACTCTTGGACTCAAGTGATCCTCCTGCCTCAGCCTCCCAAGTAGCTGGGACCATGGTTGCACGACACAATGCCCGGCTGTTTTTAAAGATGGGGTCTTGCTTTA